GATCTAATTTACCAAAATGCTCCTGTTTGTTTCAGGCATAACTGGGAAAATAGCACGATTCCAGCAGAACTTGCCAACCCCAAACACCCTTCCCCCAGAGCAAAAGAGACTCACAGAAGATTTCATTTGATTAATTTAAAACGAGCTTTTTCCAGCTGTTTGCAACCACCGGTAATGCTGCAGGAGCCCAGCAAAGCCAGGCCAATGCCCCGGGGAGAACCTGTCAGGCAACCTCCAGCAAAAGGTGCTTTCTGGGAATAGGAAGTTTTGTTGCTTAATTTGCACTTAACTGCAGTAATTGCTGCACACCTGCAGGAGGGTGGGCTGGGCTGCACCATTCCTGGCTGCCAGAGCTGCAGATGCTCCCTCGGTTTCCTCTGCTGCTGCCTGATGAGTTTTTACCTCTTGCTGAGGTTTTGGGTGAGTTTTTTTGGTTTGCTTCTTTTGGGGTGGGATGGTATTTGGTCTTTGGCTGTGACTATCTGTGGGGTCGTGCCAGGGCTTTGTGCAGTCTCTGGGGTGGCAGCAGGTCCTGGGGTGGTTGTTTTTGGATTTCTGCCTAACAGGGCAGGGGGGGCTCCATGACCCACAACTGGGGCTTTGTTCTGCCAGCTCTGGGTCACTGGGTGCCTGAAACCCCCTCCTGTCTCCACGCTGGAAAATGGCAGTGGGGTTCAGGGGGCACATAGGTGGGTCCTTGCTCTGCACCCCTGGGGTGCTCAGGGGGACACTTACGCTGGATGCTGAAGCAGAACTTCTTCTGCTGGTAGGAGATGTAGCTGGAGACAGCCCCAATCAGCGCCATGGCCAGGGCACTGGCGATGCCAGCAATCGTCCCCGTCTCTGCCACTGTGCCTGTGGGGTGCAGAGAGAGTGGGGTGCTGTGGGGGGGGCACACGCCCCTCCCATACCCTCCCACCCCAGCACCAGCCCCAGTGGCACCCACCTGCGTCGTGGTCACTGTCTGTCCTGCCATCGGCACCTGCAAGAGACACAAGCCTGTCAGTGACCCCCCTGCCCCTCTGGTCCCCCCTGCCCCTCTGGTACCCCCACCACCGTGCTGGGCAGGCAGGGTAGGGGCAGCAGTGTGACCCCAGGGACCCTGGGGCTGGGGATGAGTGTTTGCCCCTTGCTGCCCCACTCCTCTGTCTGCTCGCCCTGGGAAGCTCGTTGTTGCTTCTCAGAGGGGTCTGAAGCTGCTCTGCTCTCCCACCACGTGCTTGGGGGGAGCTTTCGGGGGAGCCCCTGCCTGGGACACCCCTTCCTGGGACACCCCTACCTGCACCTCCACCCCCTGCTGCTCTCGGTGTAGAGACAACAACCGAAAGGCTGCCAGGCAGCCACAGGGAGGGGACTGGCCGAGCTCTGCAATGTCAGGGAATCCTCGCTTGGCTCGAAGTCTATTTTAACATCACCTCCCCTCGAGAAGCTGGGCTGGGAGGAGAAGCTGCTCCTGCTGGGAGCTGCAGTCCTTACCCAGTCACTTACATTCTGAATTTATGGAAGCAGGTCAGCATTGTATTAATCTCCCCGATGCGGTTTGTCCTTGGCACAGAGATTCATTAAATGTTGATTGGGCTTGTGGTGCTCATCTTTTCACTTGACTGGTTTTAATATTTCATGCTGTGGATCCTCGCAAACACTCAGGGCTATCCAGTTGTTGCTGGTTTTTCTCCTTGTTTCAACCATTGTTGGTCACATGGTGGAAGGCAAATGAAGGGTTGTGCCTCTCATGGTACAGGGGTGGGCACCTGCTTTCGAGGTGGCAGGGGAGATGTGGGTTCTGTCTGTGCTGGTGCCAGCTGGAGCTGCAGAGGCTCCAGGGGATCGAAACCAAGCACCTCCAACTGCTGGCAGAAGGTGTGACCATGGAGGCCAAAAACTGTGTTCCCCTGGCCCCATGGCTGAGATCCCTTTTCCTGTGCACACCCTGCTGAGAAGCTGAGCTGTGCTCTGTGCAAGGAGGTTGGTCTATATGGTGGTTATTGCCCTGGAGGCAACTGCTAGAGCAAACAAGCATATATAGGTCACTACTTACCTTTCTTCTTGTCTGGGCTGTAGCCGCCGTCCACAATGCTGGCCAGGTCATCGTCTGAAAAGCCTTTAAAAATAACAAGAACTTGACATGGTTGGCACCCGAAGGGGGATGCAGCCCCACTGGGAGGTACTGGCCACAGGCTTCAGGTAAGCTCCGCAGCAGCAGGGGGGCTCACCCTCCCAACCTGCAAAAGCCAAATTCACCCAGCAAAACACCAAAGCTGCCTTCCTGTGAGGGCAAATGCAGCCAGAGCTGCCTGCAAACCAGTGCAATGGGAAGGAGGAATGGGGTGTGGTTTGCTTGGGATGAGAGGGATCCTGAAAAGTGAGTGCCTGTGGATGGGCAGAGCCTAGAAATGAACTGATTTATGGGCTTAGTAATGAGTGTAAGAAGAAAACCCCCTGACTATGCCAGACCCTGGTGAGGTCACAGGCAGTCCAGGTGCAACACGGCTGGGGGAAGGTGTGTGCTGGTTTTGACTGGTGCCACATTCCAGAGGCTCAGCTCCTCAACCTTTCCCGCAGGAGACTGAAACCTCAACAAGCCCAGAATATCAAAGTGCAGACAAGTCACCTAGTTAACACAATGTAATAAAATATCTGACTATTAATTACGTGTGTGAGCAGGGTATATGGCCATCTCGACGTCGATACACTAGACATGCAAAGTCTGTTTTCTGGCTCAAGTGCTCGAGGGAACAATCCTCATAGACAAATGATTCATTCACTGGAGCATTTTAGAGATGGAAAAAATAATCTCCTAGCCCATAGCATATGTTATGCCAGGATTTAAACCTGCTCTAGATTTATGTCTTGGCAATGACTGCAAACCCCAACACTACATACCCTGGGTTAAACAGCTGTCAGGTACAGGGAGGAGGGGCAACAACACAATCATCTCAATTTAATGGGTCAGAAGAGGCCCTGGGACAGGAACCTGCAGAAGGGCATTAGGCAGAGCCCCTCTCTGCCAAGGATCCATGAGGCAGGGGCTCCTTCCCTTCCTGCAGTCCCAGAGGAAGGGGCTGCACTGCCTGAGGAAAAAACCCCCTCCTCTGCAGGGGCAGCGGGTGGTGGCTGCAGGCAGGAGCTTGGGACATGGCAGCACCTTTTTTTCTCCTTACTGTCACTGAGCAGTGTCCAGCAGTCAGAGCCTGTACCCAGGATAGGCTGGGGAGGATCTTCCACAGGTCCCAGGGTGGCTGGTGGCAAGGATGGAGAGGGAAAGTCAACGTACCTTCACCTGGCCTTACGTCCGGCCTCCCACCATCTTTCCTATCGTTCTTATCATCAAGGGCATCAGCCAAGTCAAAATCCATAGGATTCTTTGCTAAAAAAACAACGTGAGTGTTAGCAGTGCTGGCCACAGGCTGGGGAGCTGTGCAGCTGACTAATAAAGGAAATGCTCAGCTTTGCCAGGGAAACTTGTCAGTGAGAGATGAAGCCCCCCAAACAAGCTATGCAGTATCATGGCAGATCTTCTAA